CAATAGTCACTGTATAAGTGGTTCATACTCGGGGAATATGATCCTTTATTAACAGAATTCAGTCATCTACAGTACAAACTCACACAGTCATCTACACTCTCACCGTCTTTTGTTTTTATTCTCTGACCTGGATTCAGTCATTTATACTCGCACAGTCGTTTGTTTCTTATTCCCTGACCAGGATTCAGTCATCTATACTTACACAGCCTTTTGTTTTTATTCTCTGACCTGGATTCAGTCATTTATACTCACACAGTCGTTTGTTTCTTATTCCCTGACCAGGATTCAGTCATCTATACTCTCACAGTCTTTTGTTTTTTATGCTTTGACCTGGATTCAGTCATTTATACTCTCACAGTCATTTGTTTCTTATTCTCTGACCTAAATGTTTTTGTTTTTTGACTTCGTGTCTATCAGTCGTTTAAACTAGTTACCTCTACTCTTGTGTTATAAAAATCATAAGTTATTTGTTCTGCTTCAAAGATAAAAGTAGTAACAATAAAACTAAGATCGTAAAATTCCAGGTGACCTTCGTTTCAACCCTCTCGTTTTAACCTTGACCTCGGCTCAGTCTCAGTCAAACTTAACCATTATGTGTTCTTATCTCAGACCAGGTAAAGTCTCCCAATAATTGATCTCTTGATCCTCATACCTTCACGTGATGTTGTCGTGTGCCTGTGTTCTGTGTCTTACTTACCTCTAGCCGATTCTCTTGAAACTTAACCCTTTGACGACGATGGCTTAACCCTTTGAGGACGATAATTTAACCCTTTGAGGACGATAATTTAACCCTTTGACGACGATGATTTAACCCTTTGAGGACTATGGTTTAACTCTGAATGACGATGATTTAACCCTTTGAGGACGATGGCTTAACCCTTTGAGGACGATAATTTAACCCTTTGACTACGATGATTTAACCCTTTGAGGACTATGGTTTAACTCTGAATGACGATGATTTAACCCTTTGAGGACGATAATTTAACCCTTTGAGGACTATGGTTTAACTCTGAATGACGATGATTTAACCTTTTGAGGACGATGATTTAACTTTGAGGACGATGGCTTAACTTTGAGGACGATGGCTTAACCCTCCAGGACTCAAAGGGTTAGAGATAGTGTTACCTGTACTAGACTACACACACAGGTAATGAGCTATGATAATGACTCCTGGTTCACGGTGTCAGTTCATCATCCGTGGACTTATGAGGATCATCATATACACCTGTAGCTATGAGGGCAAGTGACGTTTGTAGGACGGAGAGACAGACAGGTAAAGATACACAGAGAATCAGATAAACTAAATATACAGTATAGAGAATGGGAGCTCACTTGTTTATATGATAGCAGTTTATATTTCCTGTTTGTGTGAATCATGGTAAGCGCTGAGATTATAACTCATTGGGACGTGTAAATAACTCACTGTATTAAGCAGGTGAGTTATTTAATTCCTGTTTATAAGTAGTTGTTTACATAATGCTGTAAATCCAAGTCACTGTAAGTATGATGATGTAAAATTTTATATTCCTGTAAAGTTTTGACGCTCTACTTTATTTCACCTGAAGATCAAACACCTTTACGCTACCTGGTGGTGAGAAGTAGGTTAGGTTAGGTTAGGTTGGATTAGGTTAAGTTATATTAGGAAAGGTTGGATAAGATTAGGTTAAATAAGGTTTGGTTAGGTTAGGTTACGTGAAATAAGCTGGGTTGTCTAATGTTCACGTGGTCCAATTTCTCACCTTGTAAGTGGATGACGATTGCTTATACTGTAATATTTTTTTAGGCGGGTGTAAATGAGTTGGTTAGTGTTGCAAAGGTGTTTCTGGGTAGTGGAAGAGAGCAGAGCGCTATACCACCTGTGCCGGTAGAGTACAGAGCGCTATACCACCTGTGCCGGTAGAGTACAGAGCGCTATACCACCCGTGCCGGTAGAGTACAGAGCGCTATCCCACCTGTGCCGGTAGAGTACAGAGCGCTATACCACCTGTGCCGGTAGAGTACAGAGCGCTATACCACCTGTGCCGGTAGAGTACAGAGCTCTATACCACCTCTGCGTGTTGGTCCGCTATAAAGCTCCTAATTGGCCGTGTAGTAGCTCTCCCCCTTCCCCATTGGTCGATGAGCACAAGCTTGTAACTATCGTGAATCACTCATTAACCCTTTACCTGGTCGCTGCCACCTTCTCCCGCCGTATCCCCGGGCCGCCAAATTTACCTGTCGAAGTAAATTTGGGCACACACCTGTCGAAGTTAATTTGGGCACACACCTGTCGAAGTTAATTTTGTAAACTCACCTGGCGGAGCTAATCGTTCTCAAGGCGGAAATAATATAACAAACTCTTAAAACTTTTGTAAATGGAAAAATAGCGAAGAGGCATTTAATAGTTGGGTTTTTAAACAATAGGAAATAGATAAATCTCCTCCGATTTATATTTGAGGAGAAATTGGGAAAGAAAATCTAAAAATAGAACCAATTATTCGAGATGAAAGACGTGTTGTTGTTGTTGTTGTTGTTGGAATGTTTTTGTTATTATTGTTATTTTATTGTTGTTGTTTTTTTGGTGTTTTCGTCGTCTATGTTCATATTGTAATTGTTGTAGTTGTTATTATTTTTGTAGTTGTCGTCTTCTTTAAAGATATTGTTGTTATTTTTGTTGTTGTTATTGTTGTAGTTATTGTCCTCTTTATAAGTAATGTTATTATTATTTTTTTTTTTATTATTTGTTTTGTAGTTGTAATTGTTGTTCTCCATTTGACCTTCACATTTAAGGGTCGTGACCTCAAGTAGACGAGCGATGGTTCCTTGTGATCTTAAGACAATAATAATCTGTCACAAGTTATGTCATAATATAGACACTGTCACGTGTTTATGCTGCATGACGGTGATACATACAGCCTGAGCGCCCTTACGGTAACATTATCTTTGCAACACACGATGCAACAGGAGCGCCCTTACGACATTCTATTTGCAACAATTCAATATAATACACGAGGGGTATTTTTTGTGTGTTGCAAGCCTCTAGAAATGACTCTTTATATCTTGCAATGTGTGTGTGTTGGAAGCCCATAAAAGTTTCTAGTTTGCTCACACGTAAAAATGAGTTATTTGTGAGTCAATTTGTGAGTTTTGTTGTAATTTAGACTATGAATCAGATTAGAGGTCAGGTTATGAGTCAAGTTGTGAGTCAGTTTGTAAATTAGAGTTTGTGAGTTAGATTATGAGTTCATTTATGAGTCAAATTGTAAACCAAAGACATGAGTCATCGGTCCGTTCATGAGTCATTATGTGAGTCAGATTTTAAGCCACACTATGAGTCAAATTATGAGTCAGTTTGTGAGTCAGATTTTAAGCCACACTATGAGCTAAATTATGAGTCAGTTTGTGAGTCAGATTAAGAGTCAAGTAATTAGTCATTAATTAAATATCAACAATAATTACTTAACCATCACCATAATGGAGCTCCTGAACGATAAAGCTCCTCCCGTTTCGTCCAATGTTTGTTTTTGTCTCATGTTTACGTAGTGTCTTAACTCTTCGTTCACAACAAAACAGTGGATGGGAGAAGTCTATATTTTTATTACGTCTCTCTGACTTAATAATGTGTATAAAACCACTTGTTCCTAATTTATATAACAATGACCTGGCGTTTATATATGTCAAAACGTATAATGACTACTACTTTAGATATATAAAACCTATTTATATCACCCATTTATATGACGTATTTACATGTTAAAGTAATATATATAATGTCTCAGTTTATGTCATGTCGTTTGTTGAGTCGTAATGGCGTATTAGAAGGACTGTACCGACACTTGTATTTGTCTAATATGGAAGGTATTCAGTATTGTGGTTAGGTTGGGATAGGTTAGGTTGGGATAGGATAGGTTAGGTTGGGATAGGTTAGGTTGGGATAGGTTAGGTTGGGATAGGATAGGTTAGGTTAACTATCAATCAATTCGTTAACTTTCTTTTATCCAATCAATATCCTCTACCTTAAAATCACCTCTTTAACGACCTCCTTCAACAACTAAAACTCACAACAACAACAGACTCCAGGACTATAATTAACCCTCATCACCTCATCAATCAACCCATCTCAACCTTACTGACCTAACCTAACCTTACTGACCTGACTTGACCTTCCTAACTTGCCCTGACCTTTCCCTCTTGATGACCCACTGTGGTGCTCCTCCTTGCCTATTTTTCCCTCATTTATCCTTTAACTGTGATAAATGGATACCTTCCCCCCTCTGCTTCACGGTAGGGAATGAGATGGAGCTACCTTACCCTCTGTGTGTGTGTGTGTGTGTGTGGGTGTGTGTGTGTGTGTGTGAGGGATTTCGTCATTTAAGGGGTGGTAGAGAAAGGGGGGGGGAGAGGGACCAATCAGAACACGGTATTTATAGATTCTTTGCCAATACCTCCTGTGCCGCTCTGGATGACCTCACACCTCTACGGTCATTGCAGGTACTAGTAGACGCTCGCCCTAAATTACTGAGTCGATAAATGTAATTAGAGTTTGTTGAGAGCGACGTACAGTACGAGGCTATCAACCACTGCTGGGCGTGGCTGTCTGTCCAAGGTCATTACTGGCGGGTCAGGTCAGTCTAGGTTATGACTCTGACCTTATTGTTCCCATGTACCATAAGTTGCCACCGTAAACCCCTATGTGTTGACTCTCTACCGTGACCCTACTGTGTTCTGAGTTCCCACCATGACTCTGCTGTATTCTGAGTTCCCACCATGACTCTATGGAAACAGTTAGAGACCTGAAACTGTACACATATATTACATGGGTCCCAAGGTTATGCACGTTATCCTATACCTTACTGTTATTATTCCAAAGATAACTTCTGAATCCAAATCTTAGTGTATGGATGTAATACTGTAACCACATGGACACTGCTGTAACCTGTATTCTGTGTCTAATCCTGTACTAACAACTGATGTCTCTGGATAATATTCTGATTCTGATTTCACTGGTGCTTTCTCAACAGGTCGGGAGGTTTGCAGGACGACGATAGTTCAGGGTACGGAGTGTCCCCGCAGGGCTGGTGCTGAGTCCTCCTCCGTTTTTACCCAATGCTTTTATCAATTTAAAAGCTCTCTTTTCCGTGCTTGAGTGCTTTTATCACCTCTAGAGCCCGTTTTATCCGTGCCCAGGTGCTTTTGTTTATATTTAGAGCCGTTACGTCCGTATTCAAGTGCTTTTGACAGATCGAGAAGCTCGATTCTACGTGTTTATTTTGCCTCTGACAGTATTAGAGCTGATACTGTCCGTCCCCAAGTGCTTTGTCAGTTTTACAGCTCAGTTGGAGTGCTCACTTGCTTTTGATAGTTTTATAGCTCCTCTTAACCTTGCCCACGTGCTTTATCGATTCTAAACTCCGGTTTGTCCGTGCTCAAATTTCGAGCATCATCTTTTCGTGCTCTAATGTCTGACATATTTAGAGTCCACATTATCTGTGCTCTAATATTTTTGACAAATTTTGAGCTCATCAGCTTTTGAAAACCTTACAAATCGTTTTACGCTCTCTGACGAGCTTTAAGCTACTCAGAGAGCTCATTCTAGTGACCGCTTTTATTTTTCCTTGATAACGTAGTTTAGAGACGCATCAGTGCAAACGCTACCTGCTTATTTAGTCTTCCATCATCCTAGAAAAATACCCACTTATTTTGTGTAATAAGTGGTGTGTATAATGCCCTAACAACATATACCAAGAGTAGATGCATTGTGGTGTTTTAAGGTTATGTATGGTAGACGACTGCTTGCTGTAGTTAGCTGTACATAGCGAGCGATAGATGGCGTTACCTACAAAGGCTATGCTTATGCTTTCTCCAGGAAGGTTAAATGTATTATGGAAACCAGGTAATGTGCCTTCCATATACTGTAGACACTAATGCATGATTTATTATTAGTATTAGTATTAGTATTATTATTATTATTATTATTATTATTATTATTATTATTATTATTATTGTTGTTATTATTATTATTATTTTTATTTTTATTATTTTTATTGTTATTGTTATTAATATAATTATTATTAGTAGTAGTAGTAATAGTAATATTATTATTATTATTATTATTATTATTATTATTATTATTATTATTATTATTATTATTATTATTGTTATTATTATTATTATTATTATTATTATTATTATTATTATCATTATTATTATTGTTATTATTATTATTATTATTATTATTATTATTATTATAATTATATTATATATTATTATTATTATTATTATTATCATTATTATTATTATTTTATTATTATTATTATTATTATTATTATTATATTATTATTATTATTATTATAATGTAAATTTAAAAGAATAATTATACAAATGTTAAACAGAATTGTGTACAAATTAAATATGGGTTCTTAAAGATACAAAACAGTAGAGTAACAATTAATGTTTTAGTCCCCCATGACGTTTCAACCAAACCTCTCCCCTGCCCCATCCACACCCATCCTACCTCTCCTGCCCCAACCTTACCCTCCCTGCCCCCCCCATGTGATAACTCTGCCCCAGTATCCAACCTCTAACGCTGCCCTAACCTCATCACCTAACCCTTGTTCCTCGTCTCCCAAACGAACTTCCATGTTTTTTTTTATATTGATACTACTGTACTCGGGGATCACCTGAAGATTAGCCCTCCCTCTAGTTTATTACATCTTAAGATTAATCACCCTAACTTAACCTAACCTACCCTAACGCTAACTATATTCACAGTGTAATCTATTCTAACCTAACCTAATCTAACCTAACGCTAACTAAACATAATCTAACCTAACCCAACCCTCACCAGGTAGATTTAGGGTGTTTTAATCAACAGGTAAATTAAGCTGTGGAGGAGGACCTAGTCCTCAGGTGATCCCAAGGTCATTCTCCCGTTACAGGGAATTATGACTAAGGAGGAGCTCTCATGTTTACCGTCCAAGGCTCTTGCTGTCCTCTGGCTGATAATGTCTCTCTTAGGTCACCAGATCTTCTGTTGTTTCTTTCCCTACCCACATCTACACCATTTGGTCCCACCCGCCTGAGTCCTTTCCAATTCCGAGTTAGCCCTGACCCCTGAGTCACCCTTATCTCAGGCTGGCCCCGGATATCGTGGTTGACGACATGGGGGAACCCACGCCAGTCCATCGGGGCAGGAAGGACGACGAGGCGTATAAGAGAGGTGGGGGGGGTGGCAACGACAAGCTTCCCATCGTCCTACTACAGGGCTTCTTCAGGGGCCTGGGGAGCCAGGTCGCCGCATCATCGTCGACCCTCCTTTGTGAGTACCATCCACTACCAATCCCAAAATCTAATACGTTTAAGAATCGTTTTCTATGAGAACATTTCGATTTCGTTTTCTATGAATTTAGCTGGAGTAACATGAACATGACGGTGTATGACGTTCGTTACTGACGTATTACAGAGTGTGAGTGAGCTAACGTTACCGCCTCACCTGGTGGACGTGACATCTGTGTTACGGGGAGCGTTACCTGTGTTACCTCGCTCCCTTGCTGCCCTCTGCCTCACCCTCAATATACTGCTGCCTGGTTTAGGTGAGTATATCTACCCCTCCAGCTGTCCCTCTCCTGTTTAGGTGACCATCTACCCCTGCCGTATATTGGTGAGTATCAATGCATCTCCTATTAAGGTGACTCCTCCCTGCTAACCCTCTGCCTTAACATCAACACCATCTGTTCTCCTGCCAGGTACAGCAGCTAGCGGGTGGATGGGCTTGTGCTGGGGACGTAACAGGATGGGCACGGTAGAGACGAGTGGCCGCCGGTTTACCTCTGTCATCGTCACCGCTGTCACTGGCTTCGTCCAGCTCTTCACCGTCACCTTCTTCCTCGTCGGGTGGTTCTGGGGCGTGGCCTGGGGCATCCTGTTGGTGTCTATAGCTAGTAAGTGAGGAAGAGTGGGAGAGAGAGAGTGTGTGTATGTGTGCCATTAAGAGAGCTCAGGCTCTTTTTTTTTACGGGAATAGCCCACCCGGGCACGGGTCATCGACCCACAACGGGGCCTGGAGGGGGGGGAATAAGAGTAAAAAGAAATAAAATATGGAAGAGGAAAAGATTAATTAATATACACATCGAAGATGCCGGAAAACCAGCTTTTTGAAGTGAGACAGATTGTATGGGTATGGAAACACAGAAGAAGGCAGATCATTCCACAGTTTGGCAGTGTGAGGAAAGAAGGGTGTACTATAACGGGTTATTATAGTGTGACTGACATCCACAGAGAAACGGTGGACACCGCGGGCAAGACGAGTGTTACCAGCCCACGGCCTGGCCGGTGGAACACAGGATGCCAAATCCACAGAACATTGCCCGTTAAAGTACCTGTAAAAGTGTGTGTGTGTGTGTGTGTGTGTCAAAGAGCGATAAGGAGAGAAAGCTATAAAGTGAGAAACCAGGCATAATATATAAACGTCTTTAAACTTGTTCACTAACAAGACTTCGTATTTAACAACATTGATGATGAATTATGAAACCCTAAAATTTAACATCACTAACTAAACCTAGCTTCACTCTGTCTTACATAATTTCCGTAATATATAGTTATGGCAATACATTTATGCCCTAATTTCTCTAATGACAATAGCAAAAAGATTATGCTGGTTCGTAAGGGAGTCAGTTGCGTTTTAAATTTTAAAGGAATATCCCCAAAAAGGCATATCAGTCTCATTTGTTATTTGTTAGAGTTAACATGGCGTTGAGTTAACACTAAGACTTAGAATTAACATGAAATATTTTCCTTCTAGACAAGTACGCCTCCTTCATCTCCGAGCACAGGTCCTCCCTCACTGGTGCTGTCAGTCTCGAGATGCTTGCTGTCAACGCCAGCTGAATCCGCTCCTCCCTGAAGAACCTGCACCTCCTGGAGAACCTGCACCTCCTGAAGAACCTGCACCTCCTGAAGAACCTGCACCTCCTGGAGAACCTGCACCTGATAAAGGCCAAGAAACGTTCTCCTGAGTGCGAAAAAAGTGAAGCATACTTGAAAATAACTGTAGCCAAACCAATGAAAATTCTTTAGTTTATTTTTTAGTATCAGTTTGGATATGAATTAACGAGAAAAGGTAAAGAACTAACACCGGTCATTGACTTCGTGGCTGTCACGTGCTGAGGAACCCCGTGAGCCATCCTGTCGCCCCCCCCCCCCTTCCTCTTAATGGAGTGTTTATAAATGAAAAGGCAATCAAGTGACCTTAGTCCTCTTGTTGAAGCAACTCGTGATTGTTAGGCCTGGAGATGCCGTCCACCACCACCAAGGAGCAACAAGGTAAGGAACTGTGTCGTGTCTCCTCCCAGGGAACTGACACCTTCATCCTCGGACTGTGGGAGTTGTTGCCCATCAGCATCACCAGGGAATGACAGTCACCCAGATCCCTGACGATCAGGTCTTGAGGTGCACTCTAGTAGGCTCTGTAGTTATCACCTTCATGTGTGTCATTATAGGGTGTACAGCAGACTGCCGTACATTACTGTTGAAGGACACATGATAGTATTGTCGTACATTTTTACTTTTATTCTCTTCGCCACTTGGGCGGTCGGTCATGCCTCTGTCAGGCACTGATGGCAAGAACTGGTCATGCACTGGCTCCTGTATCTGTACCTGCGCCAGTGTTGGTTAAGTCTGGTTGTGAAAAAACTCATACTCGGTGCCGCTGGCAGATTTTTCCAAGAGTTCACAATTCTCACCCCGAAAACATTTGACATCACAATTTTCTAGAATTGTGGCTTCGTCATCCTTGAGCTGTGACCCCCTAGATCTGAGCTGCTGGCAGTTTACTCTGAAGTGGTATGTAAAGATAACTTTGGTAAAATTTTAGTTTCGGTCATCCCTGAACTTAGATATCCAAACTACGTTTTTCCGACGATTTTGATCTAACCTTACCTAGTCACCGAACCCAGGAACTATATCTAACATAACCTAAATTCCTAAGATTCCCGGATGACCGAAACTAAAATAATACCCTTTGTTTTATTATCATTGTTATTGAAATAAATTTTCTAGAAAGTTTGTAAGATGAGGAAATGGTAATGTGGAAGGAAGGATGCAAGAGTGATTACATACCACTTGGACAATCATCTGTTTTATGCAGTCTAACATAACCTAACCTCTGGTAAAAAGCGCATAAAACCGACAATCGTCCAAGTGGAATGACGCCAGCGGAGTCGGATATATTTGAGCTATACAATAATCTGGTTTGATTGTTCTTGGTTGATATTGTGACAAAATGTGTAAATAAAATGTAGTCATCATCTGTCTCTGTTGCTTCTCAAGATTTACTTACAATTTTTTGTAACTATACTTATATTCCATTGGTGTACAGTATAGTGTTTTATGTGGGTTTTTTTTCCTTTGTTTCCATTTGGGATTCCATCCCTCTGAGGGCAGAGAGGAGGTTAACCTGACCTAACCTTGCCTAACCTTACTTAACCCTAACCTTATCTAACCTCTCCTAACTTGTGCATTGTCATTTTGATTTTCATACTATCATCCAAACATCTCTAGAAAAACTGAATGAATTCAATCCAATATAAATCGTACTAAACATGCCCAATCAGATCATCATTTGTTTCTTGACATGTAAACAAAGACAGCGGATGCTCGTGATCCCACGGCACCATAGTTACAGAAAAATTTTATTCTTTGCCTACAAAGGACGTAAAGAAGAGAAATTGCTGCCATGTTATCAGTGTTCCCAGCTGTGGTTCTTACCCTGTTATTTCCTTCTTCTTTTATGTCCCACCCACTAACAAGTAATTTATAATCAAAGGATAAGCTAAAAATATAAATAATCCAAACAACAACATCTGAAAATTTAGTGCAATTCCATCAAGTCCTTCTGGTGCTGACCATCTTCTCCACGGATCATATGAAGATCCTCCCCCCCAAACCTACTTGGGGGGGAGGATCTTTATATGATCTGGCCTGGGGGGGGAGGATCTTCATATGATCAAGCCCAGTCGCGCTCATCTGAAGATCCACCCCCACCTAACCTAACCTAACCAAACCTACTTGGGGGGGAGGATCTTCATATGATCTAGCCTGGGGGGGAGGATCTTCAGTTGGATACTTTGGGGGGGAAGATCTTCATATGATCCCTTCTCCACCTTTACCGTTAATTTTACCACCACACCTACCTGTCCAGCATTGCAGTGGGGTTTCCTTCTCTCAAATTGTTTAAGACTGCTTGTAAACACGACGACCCTCGTCAACAGAAGAGGTGGATTAAAACTCCGGGCGTAAGCCTCGAATAATGGCGATGTTAGCAGAAGTTTGCCTCGGTGCAGTCCATATTGAAGGGCTTCATGTGACGTTTTCCTGTCACACCGCAAGAATATGATGGTAAGTTCTTTAACTATACAGTACAGTATTTTTATGTTGCCAGAGGATGGACAGTCGGCCGTAGTTAGAAGGCTCGGTTTGGAAATCAGAATAGTGAAGCATGTTACTGGATTTCTGTGGGTGACTGTACCTCAAAATGTATATTGTACAGGGTACAGTATATGTAAGCAAATATATTGAAGAATTTAGCAACAATACTGTATGAATCTGGAATTATCTGACATCTGTAAAAACATTGCTGAAACCTCAATAGATGGCATTGTGATTAATATTCTGTAGTTGCCATACACGGAACTCTATATTGATTCTTATATAGGGAGATAAAGCAAAAAAAAACGTAGTGGATATATGTATGGCAAAAATCACACTGGATGTTGGTATGGCAGCTGTGTTGATGGACTGTGTTGTTAATGGTATGGTTAGATTAAATAAAGTTAGGTTACTCAGAATGTAGGCCATCTTAGTAACTATCATTGTAAAGTCTGCCCACCACACAGTGCATTAGGCTGCAGTAATAATAAACATTGACGTTTAGCATACAGCTGCATATCTATACCCTGTGCCCCTCAAAAAGAATAAGATTACTTTACTAGCATTTCCATCAGAAATTTATAGTTTCAAGTTATCTTGACTTTTCTATTTCCATAAAGAGATTACAATTTGTGGCAATACACAATGTTTACTTCTTACTCAGCCAATCAGCAGAAGTGTCGATGTAACGTGATACTCGTGAGCATGTGTAATCTCCGGAATTTGAATTACGTATGTACAGTAGTTGCAAGATGGTGTCTCTCTTTGAAGATTCTCGTTTAGTGATTGACTTGTAATTCAACGAGTACAGTATTTGAGAACGAAGCCACAGCTGTTTGACATCCTTTGGTCTCGCGGTGTTCTCCATCTAGATATCTGAAGGTGTGACCAAGGTGACTTCAGACAAGGAAACCAGAAGAGCTGGACCAGTGTTGATAGAAGAGGTGTTCTAGGATTCGGTCGACGGATAGATAACTCTTGTTTTTGTGAACTGGTGCATTTTAAAACTTAGCTAATGGTATTGTAGAATTATATTAATGTATTACAAATCATAAAATTTGTGTTGTTTATATACAGTGTATTTGTGGCCACATAATGTGAAGTCGTCAGTGATACTCTACATACTCAATGTCGTTGAGCTGTACAATTATCCCAGATGTACGGTATTTGTCAATGGGAAAATTCATGTTTTGTCTGTGTCCACACAGCATGCTTGTTGGTCTTAATTACCTAATGGACTAAATGTTTTTCTTCACAATCTCATTCACAATATATCATCAAATAATAGTGGCAGAGCATTTGATCATTCCATCAAGTTTACTTAGTATCAGGGATGGACCAACCTCAAATATTATATTACAGTAAGGTGGATGACCCTGTCTACCCTACTGTAATATTTGTTTGGGGAGAAAATAAAAAAATAATGAATCATCCTTAGTGCTGAGGACTGTAAGAACAGTTTGAAATTGTCACACTCAGCGATGAAGGTTTAAAAAAATGGCAAAAAGTTATTTAACAGATTTTACTACTAGATGTCAGTTCAGTACTACTGTATGAGTCATGCTGCCATCTTCAGATTATATTTCAAAATCTGGTAATAATATGTTAAACAATCTGGCCCATAGTTGATTATAAAAAATAATCCTTGTTCGACTGCTCGGCTTATCCCTGCTTACTTTAGTTAACATCATCATCATCTTTAAATGTGTGGGTATTTTTTACGGGAAATAGCCCACCCGGTCACAGGTCATCGACCCACAACGGGGCCTGGGGGGCGAGAAAATAAGTGTGTGTGTGTGTGTGAGAGAGAGAGAGAGAGAAGTTTCGTGTCATATGTCTTGTGATTTGACTTAAAATGTTTTCGAATTTATTATAAAAAACAACAAATACTCTATCTATGTACACAACAAATATATTCTCATATCATTACCATCTACTGTGCATGAAGCCTGAAACATATCCATATGTAATCTAAACCTGTTAAAAAAAATCATTGATAGATAAATAAATATTTAAATCGAGAATGATTTCTGATAACATTAAAATTTTCTGTGTCGTTTTTAGAGCAGCAAAAGATAGATTGTCATACAAAAATTAAAGCAGATCGCAAAACCATGTTGTGCTGATAACTCTAGCAGTTGGAGCACCTAAAAAACAGAATCAGAAAATTAATGTTCCTTCTGATCTATCTCCAGTTGCATACAAATTTGTTGCTAATGTGTCTAGTGTTTACAGTACCAGTTATTTTGTTATATACCGTATATATATATATATATATATATATATATATATATATATATATATATATATATATATATATATATATATATATATATATATATATATATATATATATATATATATATATATATATATTACTGTAATGTGATGTGATGTGATGTGATAGCATTGAGTCCCAATGCATCGAATATACTGTAAGATTTATGTCATTTTCAGCTTGGTTCAAGTTGGTAATTCTAAAATTTTACATTCCTAAAACTGTTTATCAAATCAATGGGGTACTGTATTTATAATTCACTCACACCTCAGTGCTAACCAGCAAATTCCTATGAGCCATCGACCTTGAATACTCCCGTACATAATTATGATAGTCAGTTCTGCAAGATACTTCATGTAAATCATCTTGTCATGGATATGTAAAACCAAGAGTAGGTCTGAGATCTTATGGCAGCTGAAATTCATAAATTGCCACAAAAAGGTGGTCATTAATTTTTCCACAAAACAGTACCTACCCCAACCCTATTATGCCTTTATTTCCAGGGAAGGAAGCTGGATCTGCTTTTTATGTGTTCATACTGCATAATCTTTTAAGCATTTAAATATAAGCAGTAAAAGTTCACCATTGATGTTGTGGTTCATGTACACACAAGTGTATAGAAATAGCACCACATGAAGGCTGCCCAGCACTGAGGTAATATTGTTCAAAATTAATTAAATACTTTTGGACTGTATGGTTAAGAGTGTAAACAATAACTAATAATACTCAACTTAACCGAATTTTATTCAGATTTTATAATTTAGTGGAATTTGTATCTTATTGTAATAGAGAACATACTTGTACCTGTGAAAATAAATATAAGGACATGTAATACTTTAAGTTGTTTAACATTCATAAACAAAACTTTGGCACAAAATCATGTACAAGGAAAAACAATACTGAATTATTAACTACTACATGGAAGTAAATAGTACAATATATAAAAGAATTTAAATATGAAATAACATTTTATAGCTGAATGGAAAAGTTAAATGATCTGTTTACCAAAGTACTCCCTCAGTGACTACACTTAAGAGTCTGACCAAAAACATCATATCCTTTTGTTGTAAGGAAACTCACCAAGTTTTTGAACAACTTAATTAGTACCTAACCTACTTAGTAACCTCTCGTTAGGCCTACAGCATCTCTGGTTAAACCACTGTACAGTATTCAATGAACAAGTGTAGTTCTTTTCATGGGAATTTTTTTCATTATACGTATTTCTTAAAATACATACAGTACTCTACATAATTTTACTTGCTGCTTAAACCTTCAAGTATTCCTGTAAAAACAATACATACGCTCCATAAAAAATTCACGTAAATGAGTGTAGTAGGTAGTGAGGTGCAGTGCACTGTTATGATGTGTGAGAAGTCATGACTCAGACTGAGGCAGTAGTGAGTACAGTATACAGTAAATTATTGCACTGTGTATGAAAAATTATTCTATTTATTTTTAAAATATTCTAATACATTTACCATGTGTATACGTAATGTTATTTCTGATGCTCAATTAAGTCCTAATATATTACTGATAGGTAAGAAACAGTGATGTCATGACTGCATCTCTATTGGGACCATGTTATAATGTACTGGCCTCTTAAAGAGCTGTTCTTTATAGTATACCAGGAAAGTGCCCACAGCAATGGAAGAGGTGTGCCTAACACACACAACAGAACAAATTATCTTAAAATATATACAGCAGATGACTGAATGATATTATGATACATTCAACAGTAACCAAGATTTCTTCTCAGTGTATCTCTCTGAAACTCGGTGGTTGATTTATTATATAATAATTATCCAAAAGAAACTCTTCGTCTAGATACTCTGGGGTGTATCTGATGTGCACGACTGGGGTCATTTGTGGCAGTAAGACCTTGTCCATGTGCAGCATTGATATACGTGTGTCATTATCACTTGCCTGGTAAACAAGGTTCTTATAGTCTTCTCTCTTCACTTTGCTGTAAAATGGACAAAATATTAGAAATGGATAGTTTAGCCTTTCAGTAGAACATTTGTGTAGATACTGTATACTGAATGATTATAAGCTCTTAGAGAAAAATAGGTACAGATAAGTATGAAAGTGAAAAAGAAATGCTTTAAATTAAATATGGGAACTGGTATGGAAGAGTGCAGACAGGCAGTTCAGTACTGTACCACATATTGATGTACACCTACTAAAAAATTATTCGGCACCCGTACGGCGTGATACAATATGACACGGGTGCCGAATAATTTTTTAGTGGATGTACAGTCCGGAACAAAAGTTTGCTCCCCTTGGTGAAACTGAGTCACGGGGATGAGTCTCTGAACTGACCTACTCAGACTGTTCCAACTCATTTGGGTCAATGCTGCTTTATTTTGTGCTGAAGCAAACTTTTGACCCCGACTGTACAGTATTATATACTATGTAAGTTGGTAATGAGAATGGGTGAACATGATGAGCAAAAGTTGTCCTACTTGTATGTGAATGGTTATATTATATTTGTTAAAACACAAGATCGAGAGAAAACATTCAATTATGGATATCAAAACATTCCACCAATGACACAAAGCTGCAGCTCATAAAGGTATGTCCTCTGGTGCACTGCTTCGTGTTCTAGGATGCACAAGGTACATCCTCTGACTGAAGGGGTTAACACCCTGGGATGTGCTATCCTTAATTTCAAAAGACATTACAGTGTGGCTAAAATTAGTTTCAATAATTTGAAATAATTATATTTCCCCATATTTTGTGAAAATTTAAAATATGTATAGTAGTCATATTTTTTGGTAACAAACTGGACACAGGTCAATTCATAAGTGAAAGTGACATAAATTAAGCCATTTTATGAAGATTTGTTTATTGAAATAAATTGATTCTACTGTATTCTTTATTTATTAAGTGACTCAATTATGTACAATACTGTACCTATCATCTCTTTAAGAAATCATGTTAGGAAACACAAAAGAAAATTGTAAACCTTATCAGGATATATGCACATGCAGTGACTAAAACAAACATTATGAGAGTGTACAGTATACTTACCAGTAAGGTGATCCAGGACAGGCAACAATGTAGACAGCATTACCATAATAACCTAAAGTATGCATTAAGTGATGATGCTCAAAACGTCCTTTTTCATAACCACCAAAACACTAAAACAAAGAAAGTTTTTCCATTAATCAAACAATTCAGTCACATTATATCCTCAGGAAATTATTCATGTTTGTAATTCTCATTTTACCATCTGAGAAAAGAAATGCTATGATTGGAGGCCATTGTGGAAGGAACACAGCAGGAACAGGAAATTATAGGATCAACATCAGAGACCTTCAAAGCCAGAAAAACCTGGCCACAGCCATACTGACAGAGGGTAGAGCAAAAATCAGTGAAGTTATGGAAATATTTTTTCGAGAATGACCAGAATTTCGAGTGCAGCATTGCTGTGAAGAGAGCTGCTACTAGGAAATTCTTCATGTCGGTAAACTGCATGGCAGGCAGTCTACCCTAGGTGCCTTCATCATGAAGAACTTAGTGTTTCCAAGAAGGATGAGCCGTAGCTTGTCCATCCTCCCAGCAGCGGCTGTCTTACGCTGCTTCAACTGAATACGGTACAGTACAGTATTTCACAAAAAAAAATTCATATTAACAACTATCGTTTATTCATAAATATATTAATATTTTGATTTCAGTATATTTCATACACAATCATTATTTGTGCTAGTACAAATATCCCAATGAAGCCCTCATATATTACTTGTAGGTGTACGCACAGTATAATGGTGCTGTTTGACCCAAATCTCCCCTGAATCCATGTTATAATTACTTGTACTTTGTTTGGCAGTTCTCATTAGTACTCAGTTTTTAGGAACACATCCCTGGCATTAATGAAAGTACCTTTGTACCATATAAATGTGTAGCAGATTTTAGAGGCCCAACTGGGAAACAATGCCCCTCCACCAGCAGGAGCCACCGACCAAGGGGCCCCAATGGCACCGTGAAACTCTGAAGGAGTAGCTTTAGCTGTTGCCTTACCTTTTTTTAAGTTTCTATCCTCACATATTGCAGGAACTCTCCAGCTGGTACCCACCTTTACCCATCACCAACACACCACCAGTAATAAATTAATTTACTTTGATAAAAAGAATAAAGCCTTACATGTACAGTCAGAATAAAAAAATTACCAAAAATTCCCACCCAACATTGTTTTTATTCATAACACAGAGATGGCTCTCTTTCCACCAATGGATGACCTGTAGTCCAATAAAAAAAATATGGCACTTACACATGTTGGAGGAAAGAGTGTCATAACTCTGGTAGCTAAATAAATTAGAATAAAGCACACTAGTTATCCTGACGCAAGGTAATGAAAGGATAGTTTGGCAAGAGTGATTGTACAAATTGCAGATAGGTGGTTAGATTACATTGCGTTGTTATTTACCTCGTATTTATAGCGACCAGGCATGTTATTACTGATACAACCAATAAATTACGAGTCTATTCTAATATTAATTCTACTTAATTGTCAGAGGTTGTAAACAGAAGAAAGTGACAGTCAGTACGGCCGCCTGGACTGTTACCCTGTTGGATGTGAATTGACTAAAACATGGCGGACATCCATGGATGAGTGATGATGCCATGTCACCAAAACAAATGACAATGATGTGTGCTCTCAACTCAGATTTGCAATACCCAGGACTTAAATGCCAATCATTAAATTCTTATTATAATACAATCACCATTCTCTAGACAGCTAGTACTGTATATACAGTACAGGTATTGTATTGGCATATATATGACTGATTGTAGAAATCCACAACCAACTTTTAATAAATTTTGTAATATATTTAACAATAAGAATTATGATAATAGCATCAGGTATACTCTAGGGCACTTCAACAAACATTGTGATCAAAGAATCATAATTAACCAAAGAGAACTGACCGCAACAAGGGTGAAGTAACTGAGGTGATCGTCCTTCTCCGTCTCCCCATAGTAGTACACCAGGAAGCTTCCAACCTGAAATAATTGTAGTTTTAGTTCTCATTCAGTAAATTCTCTGGGCTGCCAACTCTCATACATTAGGTGTACAACACAAACATGTTTACCTTTCCCACCCATATAGAGTAAAAACCTCTTGGGACTCGACCCCTGACACAGTACAGTCAACCAAACTCTAACTCATGATCAACTGAGTTCAGTACTGCCACCAATAATGCCAACACATAATTTACTGTACAGTACCAAGTACAGGTTATACCTCTCTAGTCCGGCATTCTGTGGTCCGGAAACTCCCATGGTTCGGAACGATTTTAGTTTGTCCAATAGGTAGAAAGGCAGCCTTTTTATTTATTTTTTTTTATCTGCATTATTATTATTATTATTACATGAGTATTAAATTTTTGCCCCTCAGGCCCCAATGTGGGTCAGTGACCTATGCCCGGGTGGGCTAATCCCCATAAAAAAACAAAAAACAACAAAGCCACGGGAAATTAAAGTTTGTTTACATCCGGCAGTTCGGCTGCTCTCTCTCTCTGCTTGTCTATACAGAGTACAACATTTAACCCTTCAATATATATGAGCAGTAAATAAGTGTTGCTTTCATATTCTTATGTAGAGTAATGACGATATGTTTTCACATACCCGCAGTCTCACTTTTTTTCTTTACCATTAATGGTTAACTACTTATATTGTTCCATTTATTACATTAAATAACATTACTTCAAACAAGCATATTAATTTTTTTACATTAATTTTACTACAGCTACAATCAGGGTCTTATTTTCTTCAGTTTTATATGTAGAACCAATCAGTCACTGGTTTTGTCAAATGCGACTGTCGTTAATATTCGAATGAATTGTATTGTATTTGACACAAAACATTAATTAATAAAAATTAAACAATAAAATATATGATATTAGTTTTTATTCTTATATGTGATATGTTTTCACATGTGCTCACTTACATACGCGATCTCTCTTTTTTCTTTACCATTATCGTTAGCTACTTCTATTGTTCCATTTATTAACATTAAATAACATTACTTAAAACAACCATATTAATTTTACTACAGCTACAACCAGGATCTTATTTTCTTCAGTTTTATATGTAGAACCAGTCAGTCACTGGTTTTGTAATCAACGAAAACAATGCTGTCTCATTTCCTTGTGTGTTTAATATTCTACGTATTATTAATGAATTGTATTGCCCATTTTGCACACATAAACATTAATTCAATAAAAAAGACATTCAGTAATAAACAATAATAAATCTTTTGTACATAAGAGAAATGACGCTGTTTACATGATTGTGCAAGTTGTCTGAACGTTGGTGGGCCGTTCAAACACGTCGAAATTCGAGTTTCCACCGTCAAAATTTTAAATTGTTTTGTTTTTTTGTGTGTTTAAATAAAAAACGTTGAATTAAAAACTCACGAAATTTGAGAAGCTACTGTACGACATTTAACCCTTCAATATGTCTTCAAAGAGACCATGAAGCAGAGAAAGTGGTGTTAGTGCTTCCAAGCATAAGCGCAAGTCACTATCTATCCAGGAAAAGGGTGAATTTCCATGGTCCGGAAATTCCCATGGTCCGGCACCGGTCAGGTCCCGAGGTTGCCGGACTAGAGAGGTACAACCTGTAGATGTATTTTCATCATCTGTTTTGTATCGTCTATGCCAACTTAGTGTACAGTAGCTAAAAAAATTATCTGTGGATACTCTGTGTGAAACAATATGAGACCACAGACAATAGGTACCTGTATTGGGTATGCATGTTGTCTCCTTATATTATGTGATAGTAATCACTTAACTGTTTATTTTATTCCTGTATGCCAACTCACCCCCTGTGTTGGATACTGACTGGTGGTGGGTGAAGACACACATACCAACCCTCCCGAGACATCACGAGTTGTCCGTATAATTTTATAAGTCATCCGACCCACCCTGTCAGATACTTTTTTTTAGCTACTGTACATTATGCATTCCTGAAAACCTTGTTACAAACTGACCCTAGGCCTCAGTTGCAAGCTTTAAGTGAACAGACTGAGTAAGTGTTACTGGGGAAAAATTTCCCTTCCAAGTTGCTGTGCTCAATTGTTAACTAAAACATATTTTTTTTTTATAAAGTTAATGACAAGTACAGTAGTGCATAGAACAGGAATGAGGTGACCTAAAGTAACTGACCTTAGTTTTGGGGATGTACTCCTTGATACAAGGATGTTCCTGAATCTTCAGTAATGTGGCAGTCTGCAGTTCTCTCTCGAGGAATGACTCATATGCATCATGGGTCAAGCTGCAATCAGGCAGCAAAATTGCATCAGTCAATTAATGTACAGTACTTTGTTTAGTTTGATATGGCTCAATATCCAATAGTGTTTATCTGGGAGAATAATAAAGAATGCAGCATTAACAAATTTCAAGCCACTGGCCCACAGCAGGGGACTACAGTATAACATACAGTGTCTATAATCTTGTCATCCATTGTCACCAACAGTTTGTAAAATTAACACAAAACATCTGTTATTTTTCAGTGAAATTTTCAACAACTTGGTACTGTACAGTGTACAAGGATGGGTATGTGCATGTGGCAACATTGTTCTATTCCAATCTGTCCACCAGTCCATATGTCTCACCTATAGGGTCTGGGATATATCATTTTCAGAGACTCACTTAAAAGGACAAAATGAAAATATCTGTAGAGCTTCTGTTATATAAAAACATTTCATCAAAATTATATTAGTGAGACATCATTAAATGTTGTATGCTGTACCTTTCATTGAGGATGGCAAAACATTAACACCATTCACCTATAACTCACTAAGAAATATTGAGGACTGCCTGGGGATCAGAGTTAAATGCACGGCGGTCAAAGAAACCTGCTTGCTCCCAGCCAGTGACGTGGACGCCACCACTACCGTCATGCATGGTCCTGGGTACCTCTGGTGTCACCACATCACGTCCGCTTTGCACAACCCCGCGTAAGTACCAGTCCCAATCCACTTCCTGTCGTAATGAACATAAGATATACGTATAGCATAAATTCTTCTTCCTGTAAAAAGTAGTAGGAGTCATTATAGTACTTATGTTACCTTGTATGCCATCTTAGCTTAGTTAATGTTGCTAGGCTTTCTGGGGAGAGAGACACTATCTTCACTGAATTATGGTTCTTATATATCTATAAGGTAGAAATACTTTTAGCCTTATACTGTATATACTGACTTAGCTGTTACAACAGGGGCTGTCGGATGCTGGAGAAAATTATCATAAATCAACACAGAAAACTTATTACCCATTAAAATATCATAATATAAATACAGTATGAAATTACCACAAAGGGCATTACAGTACTGTGTTAAATGTACATATCTGGAGTCAGCAGATGGCCACCCCACCAAAAGTCACTTCTTCATGTTAAAGAAGATATCAGTACAGAAAACTGTCCAAGTTAACTTCTGTTGAATAAGAGTTGTGAACTCAGAAACTACAAACTGCCCAACTAGCTAATAATCTAACAAGTGGCAAGTCGGATACAGTAATAAAAGAAAAGTAAATGTTGCTGTGCAAATTTGTAACCTGTGTTTGGGGTCAGTGTTGTAGCATACTGTACATATGTGAATCACTTGCCATCAAGAATAATCAAAATGTTCTCACATTTTAAAGAGGAGTCAAGTGTGTAAACCCAACCAGAAATAACTCACATGACTCCTCTTGGGCCACTGTGGTAGGACCTGGTGTGCCCATCGGCGTGTAACCATCCAGCCATAGGCAGGGAAGACATCTTCACGATAGAGGCGAGATGCATCTATGGCCGTCGGCTTAAAGCTGTTGTAGTTGTAGGCATTTACACAAAAAATTGTGTCATCTGCATCAAGAAGTGGTGCTGTCTGATGGAAGTAACTGAAAAATAGTTGTCACTTGTTATGGTAGTTCCTATTAGTGGTGCTCCCAGGGAAGGGCACTTGGACATGTGTCCCTCCCTTCACCCTTTGTATTAATATATGTTACTATTATTTGTTGTATGTCTTATTAAACCTTTTTCTGTACAGTTGGCATCTATTAGTCAGAAAATTCTGTGGGCACCACTGATTCTTGTATTAGTTTTAACACTAGTTGGTTCCTGTAATAGATGTTAGTAGTAGTACAGTACAGTAGTTAAGTCCTAAATTATAAGAGTTATCAATAGTTAGGTCCTATATTATAAGAGTTATCAATATTTAGGTCTTGTATTATAAGAGTTATCAATAGTTAGGTCCTATATTATAAGAGTTATCAATATTTAGGTCCTGTGTTATAAGAGTTATCAAGAGTTAGGGACTTATCAATAGATAGGATCTATAATAGTTATCATTTGTTAGTTCCTAAAATAGTTGTTAGTAGTTAGTTCCTGTATGTCATGTCAATAGTTAGGTCCTATTAGAGTTATAACTTGTTAGGTCTTATATTAGTTGTCACTTATTACAGTACAGTACAGTACTACATTCAGGACATCATGAGTTAGGTCCTACATTAGTCATGACTACTGTAGTTAGTTCCCTGAATTAATGTTGTCTCACCTGATGAAGTCTGGTGCCAGGATCAAGTCGTCTTCCAGTATAATAATTTTGTCCACAGATGGGTAATAGCTGAATGTCTGGAAGATTGCAAATTTGATGTGCTCATTGATGCGAACTTTTTCTCCCGGTGTAGCAGGGTTGAGGTGGTACAGCGCCGGCAGTCCCACAATCTTGGCAAAATCCTGTGCCTCCTGCTGATAGCCGTCCACGGCCAGCAAGATGGGTGTGCTACCTCCCCCAGCTTGATTCCACAGCTGCTGCAACTGCCTATAAGTATACACAGATACATAAACCACATATCTTACAATTTGGTATCCTTCACATTCACCTGTACACTACTTTCACATCTTGCATCATCAGCCTTGCTTAATATCTAAAATGTTGACTGCTGCTTAGTTACTGGTTCTTCTTTATTTATGCTTCCACTTCATATACCAAAATAAAGGTATTCTATTCATGAAAATTTTTAAATTTAAGAATATCAGAGTATTTATCCTCTTATTCTACAGTGTACACTCTCCAAGATAAGTTTAACATCCATCATTTGCCTGACCAAGTATCATTATGTCCATCCCCTTCATATTCTCTTCCCACTTTGAAACTCATCATTATTTTCTTCACATCCAAAACCCAATACCACCTGGACGGTGTTTGTAAACAGAATAAGTAACACACCTCATGTGACAGTCTTCAGTTTATATAGTAAGTGATGGATACTAGGTTAGGATGTCTTTAGTATTTAATCGATTATTCATCTATTCCAGCCTGCTGATTAAACAGACGACCTGTGGAAAGACTCAACTGGATTACACAAAAGATATACACACATACCGGAGAACCTTGAACTGATGTCTAGAGGTGACGATGACGATGGGGATAGTTTCCTTCATGACCAGTGGGGCCGGGGACTGTGAGGGAAGCCCAGCCAATTGTTAGTAACTAGTCACCACAGAGTTGAATACACACAATATCAAATGGAGTTGAATACTGTTCTGCATAAGTTATAGAGCTTTTAAATTGTAAAAGACATTACTACAAACACACCATTGTATCATTAGTATTTGTAATAGTCTAATTTTATAATCATGATATGTATTCTGGGATATTTAGTATTTAAATCAGTGTATGTTTCCAGTTTTAGTGTGGCATTAAAAATGAGTTAGGTGGTGGAGGATCTTACTGCATGGGCAGGAGAAATAGTAGTAGGGTGGTGGCAACTGCACCAGTCCCCATATCCCTCGTACTTCTCACAGAAGGCAGCTCGCTCCTGCAGCTCTGGCTGGCCGTACCATGCACATGCCCGTACTGTAACACATACATACATACGCAATATGTTTTGAACATTACATACCAGGCACCTGTACAATTACTGTAGTAATTAGTGTTAAACAGTAATAAAAATTTATGGTATGTATTACAATACTGTATCACATACTGTATATGCTATGCAGATGACACTGCTCTTATCATAGATAGTGAAAATGCACTGCTGTACAAAAACTGGTTAACAGATTAGTGAAAAAGGGTGAAAAATGTGTGCTAAGAGTTAATGCTGTAAATACAGAAGTAATACCTCCAGAAATAAAAATTATGATTGGCAACAAAATAGTAAAGCAAGCAGAACATTTTGTGTGCCGTACTTGGGAAGTAACATAAGCTGTGACATTAAAGGTGCAGAAGAAATCAAAACACGAATAGGTCAAGTGAAAGCAGTATTTAATAATTTAAGAGATGTGATAAAACTGCTGCTGATATGTTATGTATGGTCAGTACTGTTGTACGGGTTAAAAACATGGGACACTTTTAGCAGACAACAAGAGAAGGTTAAGAGGCCTTTGAAAAGTGATTCTACAGGAGAAAGTTAAAAATTACTGTATCTCCTTCACTTCACTAGAATAAATTTTTGCAGCATCAACATCCATACTGGCAGCTTCACCACTTAATTTAACATTGTGCAAATTAAGTCACGTCATAAATCTTTCAATCTCCTCAGCAGACAATATGAATATTATTATTAATTATTTCAAGTCATAATCACTAGGAATAATAAATACTGTACACCATTAAGAATTATAAAATACCTGTACTATTGTTATCACTGTAGAATTCATTCAGATATTAATCTTATGTACAGTATGACACCAAGTGATATTGAAACCCACCTGGCGGAGTTCTGGGCACCTCAACCTCAAGCCAGAGGGGTGTCGATGGGCCAGATGTGTAGTTCCTGTGGGTGGTGGCTGCCTCACCCCACAGTGGGCCACTCACAGTGGCCACCCCCACCCACATCTCTCCATGGCACATATTGCCCACCCACCACCCTCCCAGGAACTCCTCCAAAAAGTCATTGGTCTCATTGTCGAAAAAATATCGCCAGTCTCCCTGTTGAGAGAGTTTTTATTATTAGAGGTTGATGAGCATAATGAATGTCTTTCCTATTACTACTGTACTGTATTTGTTTAAAGTATTATTAGTAGTAGCAGTATTAGTAGTAGTAATATATTCATAGAAAATTAACTAAACATTTAATGTTTTACAGCATTCTACTATGCTTTACTTTTGTGTTTAAGTAATTTACTGTACTAATTGTAATAAAAAACTTATATATGCACAGGCATCTGCTGCATTACGGAAGCTCGCGTTACGGAAACTTTTTTCAAGAACTCAAGCCTTCCATAACCCAGGGGATGCCTGTACTTAAATCTGTAATTGTGCTGAGATTTCCATATAAATTTATTAAGTCTGTTGAGGCACCAATTTTGAAACTAAATGTTCCTATACTTTATACCTTAACCGAGTCTTTTACTGACATTTCTATATAAACTTTGTGACTCTAAAGTGTCACCTTTCTGAAGAAATGTACTTGTACTTTATATCTTACTCAGTGCTGGTATTGATAATCTGGATAAATCTGGTGCATATGAGTGACTTACAGGAGCAGCGAGGACAAGGAGGGTACCAGGTTGGAGGCTGGTGAGGGTCTGAACAAGGCCCTTGGTGGCCCTCGGCTGCCAGGTACGGTAGTAGGTGGTGAGGGTGGGTGTACCTCGGTGTGGGTGTACTGCTATCACGTGCACTCCCCTGTGTGCAGTCGCGTACCGAGTGGGGGACGTGCGTGTCGTTTTGTTGTGTTGCCGTAACACCTGTTATACCATTTTAGACACTTGAAACATCTATTATGATTAGAACTACAATACTCTACCTCCTGCGGCCACCACTATACATGATGCTTACTGAACTCATGACTACACAAAATACACCCACTGTGGCTACTGCACATGACAACCCCATTATGGCCATTATGCAATTACAGTACAGAACAGTACAGTATTGAGGTAATGACTACACATGATGTACAGTAGCTAAAACAACTATCTGTGCATACTTTCTGGGAAACAATATGAGACCATGGACAATAAATTTTGGTATAAGAGGGCTGTCACTAGTCACAATTAAAATTTCGGAGCATATCAACCCCCACCTGCACAGATAGTTGATTTAGCTACTGTACTTACTGTGGCCACATACATGACAACTAACAGTACAGCATGGCCACAACAGTTACTGAGATCTTTACTTCTGTGGCCATGACTTCATGTGACACACACCTAACATAGTCATGAATACACACGACATTTCTACTAAGGCCATGACAATAATTGACACACTGTGGCCACAACTGCACGAATAATCATGACACCTGCTGTAGCCTCGACTACAGTATTACACGACACTTTCTGTGGCCTTGGCTGCACATGACATCTACTATGGCCACTAAACATGACACTTTGGCTATGATCACATATTTACATCTTTAAGAAATATATCAATTATGAAACTTGAACTCTGACCTTATGTGGACAAGGTGGGTGTGACCTGACCTGTTTGCCATTAATGATGACCTGGATAGTAAGGGTGTCGACCATGACCTCAACACTGATGGTACTGGAGGCTATTTCTGGGGGGAGATCAAGGTTAAGATTCACTACTGTACCACAGAACTATACATAATGGTTTGTATACTATAAGAAGATAGACCTGATAAAATAAGTGTTATTTATTCTATAGCATTTTTGTTGCAAAATTATATTTTTTCCAGTTACTGTATTTTGATATGAAATAAGCTAATATGCTTTAATTCTTTTTGTTACTTGTGAAGACATTGTATGTGTCTGTTTACTCAAGATAAATGAAACTTTATTGTAATTGATTTGAGAGATAATGATGCCTTCCTATTGCTCATTCTTTTTAAAACTGCTCTTAATATTTTCAAGGGGTTCACGGTAACTCATAAATGAGGTTGGGAGGCCACACTCGGTATCAAACACTGACTCACCTTGTTGCCGGAGGATGAGGTCACTGCTCACTGCCCTCAGTGACTTGTCACCTGGGGACAATTATTACTGTTAACCTCACTATGTACATGATACACTATAATAACATCTGCTAATCACTTTATTATGCCAGTACAGTAGTACCCCGATTTACGCGGTCGATTGAACCCATGGGGTACCGTGGAAAGTGAACAACAACATATGGGATTAATTCCAATAGAGACTGGCCCGACCCCCAAACTCCACTTTTTCAGGCACAATACCTACGTTGTAGTAAAAATTACATCTTAATTTTATGATGGTATGCACACACAATAATAATTAAGAGCAATATCAATAATATTAGTTTTTTTAACACTTACATTAGTAGAAAAGATGGCTGAGCACACAGGGATGGGGGGGTTGGTTCCGAGGCAGAGGGCAGATTATTGGCCCTCTCCTGTATCAATTGTATCACTATCCACCACATAGGCTTGCAGGGCCTCTTTGTCAAACCCCTCAAAGTCCATATAAGTCCATATCCTCAATATTACTATCACTGACTTGGGCCGGCTGTGGTGGGTGGCGGGTGAAGAACTCGGTAATGTTTTGATGACTGGGCGACCTTGTGCGCATCCTGCCCGCGCCGCTTCCCACGTATATGAGTAGATGCACCGCTTAAAGTGAAAGTCCGGTTCTGGCGAGGTACCGCGTAAATGCGAAATCGCGGAAAGTGAAACCGCGTAAGGCGGGGTATTACTGTATTTGAATAGTTTATACTGTACAGTATATATATATATATATATATATATATATACTATAGTAAAACCTCGATTAACCGACCACATATGGGGGGAAGGGGCCGACGGATAATCCGAAAGGTCTGTTAATCGTACATAAAGTCTACGGAAATAAAACATACATTTTCAAAGTACCTTTCCCTCACCTACCTCATTTAATTCCCTCTATTAATTTTTGTTCATTTGCCATTCATATTTCAATAGAATTTGCTTTAAAACATTAACCACTTTAGTAAATAAATATGAACCAGCACAGAAACCGTGAATAAAAAATGGAAAAGTCAAAGAACAATGTCATCACAAAAATTGTGACCAAGTCCCAGGTTGCTGATCTGACTTTCTGCCTCATTTACACACAATTGCAGGGTCTCAATTGCTTCTCTTACTATTGACAACACAACATACATATATTGTTTCTCACTCTTGATTTTTTTTTCATTTTTGCATTTCTTTGTGGTTCTTTATTATTATTATTATTATTATTATTATTATTATTATTATTATTATTATCATCATCATCATTATCATTATTATTACTATTACATTATCGTCCCCCAGGCCCCGATGTGGGTCAGTGACCTGTGCCCGGGTGGGCTTATCCCCGATTTTATTTTTTTTTTTTTTAGGAGTTGGGATTGACGGTTAATCCGAAAGTCGGTTAATCTAGGTTTTACTGTACAGTATATATATAGTGAGGACGATGTTTCCGAGTTGTAAGTGTTTACACCATCACCACAAAAATCGTAAGACTGCAGAATTTAACTTGCCTGCAATTTTTATAAACATTGAATACAGTATTCAGCTGACAACTGAAAGAATGAAGAAACAATAAATTTTTGGATGACATGAGAATGTAAGGATAACTTAAATTCATTGTCAAATTTATCAAGTAGAGAAAAATTTCTATATACAGTAAACATCAACAAGTCAGGTGAAAATGTGTACTTTAACGGGTTTTCTGAAGGTAAGATAAATTATTATTGTAGAAACAGAAACTTGTAGTTAATCATTCTGTTAAGAATGCATTATAAGTACTCATGGCACCATACACACTCAAAGTATTTATAAATTGTCTGCTGTGGAAGCTATGACCTAATGAACAGTGCTTAATGACCCTGGCAACAGGCTTCACCTGTGTGGAAATTTAAGAGTGGTAATAGAAACAACAGCACCCTGAGAACCAAGTAATGTTAAGGTCATCCTCAGGCTTTTAATCAAAAAGAAAGCATCTGTGTAGCTCCTCCAACGATTTTCAATAATTACTGTGGATTGGCGCTTTTTTCTTGTATTTTCTCTACACAATGAGGATGATAATGCATTACGTGATTTGCTGTTAAACATTTTCAAAATTACGAAGCAAAACTAAAACTTCTTACCTTTCTTTAGCCAGTGTTGGTAGACGTCCTCCACTGGACTACCTTCAGCAAGTGGCCAGCACAGTGTGAGTTGGTTGAAGAATAAAGTTACCAGTAGTGTGGTAAGAAGGAGCGGGCGGTGATGAGATAGCTGATTTGGTAGATGCAGATCTACACTTTGGTCATCAGTATGGTGTTGAGGTAGAAGGCCATGTTGATGATGAAAATATGGACAGGTGCCTCGATATAATGAGGCGCATGAATGGTGTTGATGGGAGGGCAGTGATTGTTTGTAAATGTATTGGGTGTAAACCCTGGAGCTTGTGGAGTCAGGGCGGTGATGGGGGCAGCACTCGTCGTGGTGGTGATGGGGGCAGCCCTCGTCGTGGTGGTGATGGGCAGCACTCGTCGTGGTGGTGATGGGGCAGCACTCGTCATGGTGGTGACGGGGGCACTCGTCGTGGTGGTGATGGGGGCAGCACTCGTGGTGGTCGTCGGTGGTGATGGGGCAGCACTCGTCGTGGTGGTGATGGGGGCAGCACTCGTCATGGTGGTGACGGGGGCAGCACTCGTCGTGGTGGTGATGGGAGCAGCACTCGTCGTGGTGGTGACAGCTACAGAGATGGTGTTGAATTTGTTGGTGGCTGGTGATGTCATCACATGAGGGGGTCATAGTCACAGATGGACTGTTCTCACTCATCGTCGTTTACATAATTCTCAATCTGCGAAAACACCTAATATCAGGTTATAAAATTTCATCTCTGCTAAGTCATTATCACGGTAAACACTATAATTACGTCAAGGAACTTTTCCACGGGACGTTAAAATCTCCTTTACGTCCATTCATCCATCTTTCTGTAAACCAAACTTCATGAGGTTGCCTGAGTCACTTGCCCGAAAACTCTCTACTAATACTCTACGCTTCAGGGAATGATACTGTACTTATTTTGGAATTTTCTAAAATTCAGATTGATTAAAAAATAAATAAGAAGATTCCTAACAACTTTAATTTTGGATGATTATTTTCATTTAAACAAAGATCATCCACTTTTGAACCTGACTCAGGTTAGTAACTTCAGGGTTGGATAAGACTAGGATCATTACAATGAAAAAAGGTGTTGAAATTTTCGAAATGTTCTGCCAGTGGACACTCCCTCCCACCTGTGGCGTCATCATCAAACCCCACTTGATGACAGGTGTTACAAATAATATTAAAATGGTTTCTTACTGACTCCCATAAGGTGTGTTAGATGAGGCTAATTACCATGACCACAACTCCCCCTCACCTCTCCTCCCTCCTTCACACTCCTATACAACCTCACTCCACTCTCATACTCACTCTTCTTCCTCATACTCACTCTTCTTCCTCATACTCTTCTTCCTCATACTCACTCTTCTTCCTCATACTCTTCTTCCTCATACTCACTCTTCTTCCTCATACTCTTCTTCCTCATACTCACTCTTCTTCCTCATACTCTCTCCCCTCCCTCTCACTCACCCTCATACCTTCCTCGCACTCACTTACCTACCTAATCTAACCCCACTTAAGTACACTAATTTACCTATATTAACCTTACTTAACTAACCTAACCCTGCCTAATATAATCTATCTCACCTAACTTACCTTACCTAATCTAACCTTTTCTCTTCCCTCACTACCTTATCTCCAAACTCCTTTCACATCCCCCCTCACGCCTCACCTCCCTCTCACGCCTCACTTCACTCACAAGTTCCGTGGCTCACCGTAATAAGGACACTGCTACCTGAGCCACGCACCTGCACCTTTAACACACCTCACCTTCGCCAAAATTACTCCTCTTTTCCTTCAAGTATTTTCCTCCTTTGTCTTTACATAATACACGATCTATGCTGTTCTTGGTGTGTTCTACGTATTTATTTGTTGTAAAAAATAGTATTATTTGTGGTCTGATTCAAGTTTGTTTTGTTAACGTGGCAGCCAACTCACCTCTGACCCCTTCAGGTAAGCCCCACCTATGACGTCAACCCTGGGCATGGCAAGGCGGTGACGTCATATAGGTACTGGCGTTATTGCGTCCCTAGCTTAATCGCGGCTCCTTAAACTATCGCCGCTCTTATTGACGTGCGTGTGATTATTCATGTCTGTCCATCTTTGCCCCCGTGCATTTTTTTAATATGTAAAAATTTTTGATTACTTGAACAAAAGAATTTGAAAGCATGTCTTTGATCATCGGTACAATATGTTTACGTGAGGAAGTTGTTTTCAGGTACCAATTTCTCATCTTTCTTAGTCAAGCTAAAATAGACAAAAATAATATTTAAAAAAGACTAGAATTACTGTATACTGAAAAAATGTCTTCTTTCTTCAGAATATGGAAGGTAAAAGGCATCACCAACCGTTCTCCTATACATTGCAATGATACGTATTTGAAAACTACAGTGAGTGAAGTTGGTTCCTTATAACAGTAGTGACGTTGTTTTATGGCAAGAACCTCTATGTCGGAGCAACCGGTAAAGGCTGGTGTTGACTGTGGCTACATGATGAATTGATGATCGGTGGGCAAGGAATATCAAAAGTAACTATTAGGCTTGCGAGCTTTACTAGTTAGACGCTTGTCGTATAGATGGCGCTGGATTGCTGACGTTTTGACTGTTTATTTGGAACGTTGGCTAGGTGGCGGGAGGTGTGAACCTGGCTCCTAATACCGGCCACTGTTGAGTTGCTTGTGGGCAAAACAAGGAAATTATAGAGAGCCAAGGTTCCATTTATTCTCAGAAGTCAAGAAAAGGTAAGTTCATAGTTGTGGTTGATTCATAATCAGTCACTGTTAAATTGCAGTCTAATTTATCATTTCACCACTTATGTTACTAGTCATTCGGGCGACAGGTCATGTGTTACCTTGTTGTCCAGTAACACCCATCGAGGAAGACTCCCTCCTTTTACAGTTGTTTGTAGCGTAATTTATCTCTTCAAAATTATAATTAGGAAACCAATAGAAGAAGGGTAAGAGCATGGTTTGTTTGCATTTCTACAAGCCATTTAGTGGTCGGTGTGTCCCAGTAACTATTAGTTTTCCTTACAATTTTGTGTTGCATATCTGTAAGAAGGTAGAACTACCCTAAAATTAACTATTAAAAGGGGGGTTACTCAGTTGGTCTTTAAACTGCAATATAATTGATCATTTGAAAGCATATCCACACGGATTTATGATAATTTTAGATTATAATTACGGGACTATCACTCGGTGTCAATACGAGAGCAAATACCCTTTTAACCCCTCCATTTTCTTAACATATAACATAGTAGGAATCGAGATCGTGTTTGAGCAGTTGTGACAATTTGTAGATAAACTTTATTGAAAAATATCTTCGTAATTTAGTGGTACTTTCCAGGTCCCTTACATACAGCGATCTATAACTTTCATTTCCTTTTAATAGTTATTGTTCTTATCATTATAGATGTATAGACTCGCAAAGTAAGCTGAACATAGTATACTTACATCACTAGTTTCTTCCGGGTACTCCACATTCTTCTAAAAGTAACTCTGGATGATATACAATAGTTCATAATACTAACAAAGAACAGACAAACCTTTCGAACGACTAATAAGTTGATAAATAATAAAAGCAGATAATTAAATGAATGCTGATAGTAGAGAAAGTAAAATCCGCTGGAAATACTAGAGTTAACGTTAAAGTAGTGAGTAAAAGTTTTCAAAAGAACGCAAAGACCATTTTCTACGATCTGGCTTGTTCAATAGATGGCGCTTGTATTGGGTGCTTAACGAAAATATAAGGGAGTTTTAGTTCTTTTGATATATATTCCTTGGCGGCGGTAGTTTCTTCTGTAATTTTAAACTAATACTGTACATCGTTACTTTCTATGTATTCCTGATTGCGTGACCTATTTATACATATTAATTCTCAGTAGCGATTATGTAATATTCACCTCAAGTTAGTTATATGTTATTTGAGAATTATTGGACTGAAATTAAATAAGAGTTCACGTTTGTCTTACCTGAGTCATCCTTCTCAAAGCATCTTGTATCATTTTTCCTCGCAACTGGGAATTTGAGATGATATTTGATAAGGTGATTTAAATTATGACATGAAGTTAACTGCTGATAGTGCCTTTTGTGCGGATGACGTCACCTGGCTCCGCGACTAACAAGCCCACACCTGCCGCTGCAACTCTGTTATTTCCTGTACTTCGACCGTGGAATTCCTTGCTCTTCCTTAATGTTGGCAGCGGCCTCAACCTCAGGGTGGCCGAACCACAGGACTCTCCCACAAAACAATATTGGAAATTTTACAGCTTTACACTAATTAACTTTACTGGAGCATTAAACATGGGACTATGAAGAAAGATTAGCGAGCGACATAATCTTTGTTATTGAAGCTCCTTAGGGTCACTTTGGTCGTAACTCGTTATTTGTAGTTTCATTAAATTATCCTATACGATAAAACAAAGAAACGATTATTGATTTAAAGATATAAATAAAATTACTTTCAACGGAAATTCGGATTTACGGGACAAGCCTTTCAGACCAAGATATTTCTTGAAGAAGAAAAAATCCGAGAAAACTCTGTCAGATCCTGAAAAGTTGGTCTGTGTGTTTGAGTCACATTCCTTTGTGTTGTATTGTGTTGAGGCTGGAGGAGGGTGTCCTTGACCTGTGTGGGTAGCTGCTGCTCTCTCTGCCCCTACCTCATTCTTGCCGCTCCGTCCTCTCATCGTGACCCACACCTCATAAACATTGCATTTCACTTCTCACAAATATCATGATGACCCATACAATTAACTGATATTTACATAATTAAACACATTTAATTGTTCTAGAAGTTGAGTGTATCCAGAGTTTGTTTCATTATATACCAAAATTAATGTTCTACATAACTACGGCTTGGCGGTCACTAATCTGTGTGTGTGTGTGTGTGTGTGTGTGAATTATGTGTGATGTTTAGTCGTCACCTTGAGAGGGTCAGTATGTTTTGTACATCAATTTCTTCACGTCACATCTTCCAGTAAACATTATAATATAATATATGAGTTTACCTTGATTAAGCAACGTTAGAAATGAGATATTTTAAATTGATTACGTCATGTGCTGCGCCCGTCCCCCCTCCCCCCGCACCACACCTCACTTTCCCTCCTAAACCTCCCGCCTCTGAGATCATTAACGTCCTCCACACCTGTTTTATATCTTAGTAAGCTTCTTGAAAATTTACTTGTTTTAATATCATCTCATTTTCTGGGGTGGGCGGACTACTTGGTGTGTGGTGAACATGTTTATCGCAACCATCAGTTCCCGCCACCTTCATCACCTCCACAACCAAAACCACATCTCTCACCGATATGAACTTCAACATATTTTTTAACCCAACATACCGTGATATTAACCTCTGAGGTGAGGCGTTTTTAATGCAATACTTCCCCTTTACAGTGACATCCCGATACATGGTGGACGACTGGAACAAGTTACCAAATATCATCATTAACTCGAATACGCTGGATAGCTTTAAACTTAGGTTGGATGGATATATCAGCAATAGGGGTTGGGTGTAAATGGGATTGCCCAATATGTGCCAATAGGCCCGCTGTAGTTTCCTCCATTCTTATGTTCTTATGTACAAGGCTGTTAGTACTGAAATCTTCGAGATTTACATTGTAATCGTCTTATTGAAGAAGACAATCTGTCTGGCCTTCACTAAGGAAGGAGTCATGTGTGATAGTTTTACAGCGTTTACTTCATTTTAATCTGACAGTTCTGAGGGAGTGTCGTCTTGAGATCGGCACTGGTGAGAGAGAGATTATTTCACTTGGCTATTTAATGTTTTATTTGACCGCTTTTCACTTTTGTATTAATTAGAGAACCCTTTCCCATGTGGGTATAGTGTATTATGAGTGAATATTTCCCTCCTTGAATTATATTCCACCTCTTTATATTGTTATTACCGACGTGGGAAATAGCATGTAAAAACGGTAATTGTATGAGAACACACAACTGTACCGTATGTGTGGTTGACTGTACAAGTAGGTGGCTCAGAGACACTATAATAAGGTCAGTTTTCGTCACACGCACACACACTACAGTAATGGATATTTGGTTAATGCGATGAAACAGCGACGTACTTTGTTTATAAAGGGAATTCGTTGTATTTTGTTTGTAATCTGACATCGGACATGTTAATAATATATACATTCAAGTAAGCTATGTTATATGAGCAAAATCCTCAACACCGATAGTTCACTACAGTAGTTCTCCTGTGAGTGTACCATGTCTTCAGCACTGTTAACAGTATAATACATTTTTATTCTTCATTTAAAAGGCAGGTCGGGTCGGCAGTGAATATGGCTGTTTCTTACTGTAAATAATAGCGCCACCCCTTTACCTTGAAGAAAACACACTCAGCACTCAAGTCCGACTCTAAGTCCTTAATTTTGTGGACTTGACTTTGTGTCGAATGTAATCTGACTTGGCTTGAGTTACATCAGCAGTTAAAGACATTCAGTTGTAGAGCTTTTAAACAAAGTACCATGTGACCGAAAAAATATATATATCTGTACTAACTCGAGGCTTAACTTGCTACTCTCGAAAAAGACTTGTAAACATGTCTAATTGCCGGTGTATAATTTACTAAAGTATATTTTTTCCAGGGTTTATGCTGGTAATAGTCCCAAGAATCATATTCTGTATATATACAGTGTTATTACATCTGTATTTTACCGATAGATGAAGTCAGTAAAACCATGTGTAATACCTAGGACATTAATTAAAGATGCTCTTGTGGTGATCAATACAATGAGTCATTGAATGGTTGAGTCTTGGGTACAGTCTTTTTCTCAGAGATACGGGGGTCCAAGAACCATCCCACCGGTAAAAGAAAACGGGTGAGCTGCAGCAGGTGCCCACCAGGTCTTTGATCCGGGTGCTGGGGTCTCAGCCTCCCTGCCTCCTCTCCACCCCCAAAGTTTCCCCCCTCCTTCCTCCCATCTTCTCCCACACCTCCATAGTAGCTCTTCCTCTCGCCGACTCCCTCCCTGAAATTAAATCAATTCGTTTAAACTCACATTTTGGAGTTTCTCTTTATTTCTTATTACTATTTGTAAATTTTCATAATATAATTATTAATATTAATCGAATTTATTGAAGAAATATGAATATCAGGGATAAATAAAAATCACTCAATGAGTTCTCTTGCGCACACTTAGCGCATGCGCACTAGCAACAATCGATGCGATTTTCTTATTTTATCTTATCATTATTTCCTCTGGCTACAGGGTTGCCCAATGTATAGTTTTAAAATGCCAGGTGGATACACAAAAAAACTTCACATAGTTAAAAAATATAATTAAACCTCGTAAGAGCCTTTATACTGCCAATAAATGTAAAAACCAGACGAGCGCCGTTTGCACCTGCGCCATGCGGGGAGGGCGACGCCTGGGACGAACAGCCCGTGGGCTTCAAATGGTCATGGCTGAGTGTAGTGGTCGGGTGTTGTGAAACGCTCTCGGGTTATTAGAGATAATTTGTGGTAAGTGAGAGTTATACCTTACAGTTTAGTTGAAAATGAAACAAGAAGGTGTTGTGAATAGTTTATAAGCGATGGAATTGTGTTTAAAACTGGAAATAACTAAATGTGAAGTCAAAACATCGGTAAGAAGTAGTAGCGGCATTGGAGGTTTGTACCTGGTGGTTGTCACCGTGTTTTAAATGGGTGGGAGGAACTTGGTTTGGGTCTACAGAAGAAGCGCCTACTGTGATATGTTAACAAACATTTGCTTCTTGTTGAGTGTCCATGTGAATACTGACCTATATATAAATATGTTAAACAAGTGACCGAGGAAGCCCTTTAAAGTGGTTGTTTTATTAAAGCTGGCATCATCTCGTGTTGACCCGGGTTGTGGTGACCTGGGCAGGTACACACGACTGCCAAGTACTCAGCATGTTAGCTGCATGACGTGAGTGCTTGCTTTGTCCTCACGGATAACCCCCACCCAATCTCCCGCCGCTGACCCAACTATCGTTAATATTTGCAGTGTGATGAGAAGAAACTTAATATTAGTAACGGGTGGCTGTGGGCTCTGCAACTAAGGACACTAGCTCGGTAATTCACTAAGGTTAACTAGCCTTCGCCCCAGAATGGTTGTGCCGTGTACGTGGATCATAGTGTTTCATGAATATTTGGCTGATCAGTGAGCAGTGTTTGTCATATATTGTTAATATTATTAATGAACTTGTATTTAATATCCCCTGTGATTGATCGTAAACTTCGAATGCTGACATTGCCCTTTTGGTGTTCCCTCTACCATGGTGCACAAAGACATTACAAAGGCTAACCTCCATTAATAATCTTGTTTGTCAATATTAAATTAATGTTTTAGTGTAAATGTATGATTTGTATTAATATTTGTATGTCATGATAACTGAAGGGTGATTCTTTGTTTCAGATTGTTGCCGGCTATGAAGTGGCGTGTTGGAGTGTTGACGTTTTGTGGAGTGTAGCAGTGGAGTGTTAAGATGGTTGGTACAATGTTGCCTCGCAGTGTGTTGTTAGGGCGTGTGGGTGTGGCCGTCGTGGTCACACTCACCACCGTGTGCATGAGTGCAGAGATCTTGCCCGAAGTGATGTACAATGTGGCCGTGCCCCACGACGTTGCCCCCGCGCATATTGTGTACAAGATCAAATTAAAAGATGGCCAAATCGTTGATAAATTGATGGATAGTGAGTACTCAGATTACTTTGCCGTGTTGGATACTGGTGATGTTATGACTGTGTCCAAGGTGGTCCCCCTCTTGGGTCGTATTGTGACCCTCAGGGTGTCCACTAACTACGCCGATGGTAACATTCAGGTGTATGCTATCAGGGTGGCCATCAAAGATCACCAGACGATGCTACGGTTCCTTAAGCCGGAGTACGACGCCGAAGTTTATGAGAACCTGCCTGCTGGCACTGAACTCCAGGGCGTGGATGACTTGGAGGCCATGGGGGAGGAGGATATTAAGTACGAGCTTCTTGGAGGCCACTCCGTCTTCGCTCTTCACCACGTCGGTGGCGTACCAACAGTGGTCACTCGAAAAGCTCTTGATCGCGAGGCTCAAGACTTGTACAAGCTGGTCTTGCGAGCCTACGACAAGGAAGGTATGGACATGGCAGAAGCCAAGATCAATGTTCATATTCTTGACATGAACGACCATGCTCCTGTTTTCACGCAGAATGTGTTCTACTTCTTCGTCCCCCTCAATGTCACACGATTCGATAAGTTAGGTCGTGTAACGGCTCATGACGGTGACGGAGACAAGGTGGTGTACCGCCTGGCCTACCCGTCCAACACCTTTACCATCGTGCCGCAGACAGGAGAGATAATGCTGATAGAAGCTCCGGACACCATGGTGTACGAACTGGAGCTGGAGGCCTTCGACAAGCGTAAACCCACTCTCTACTCTGATAACTTGGCCAAAGCTCACATCGAATTTCGGTATCCAAGCGATTCCCTGTTCACCGGGGAAAGCAACGACATCGATTACGACGTGTACCCTGAGCATGCCATGTCCAAACGCAGTGCTAAGAAGAGGGTAAAGCGAGGTCAGCTCCGCCACACCAAGGAATTGGTGTTTTCCGAGGCTGACGGAGCCGTCGAGGGCAAAGTCGTATTCCAACTGGAAAAGGAAATTCAGTGGGAAACATTTAAAATCCGCGACGATAACCCATGGGTTGAAGTGGACACTAACGGTGCCGTGAGAATCAAGAAAAAATGGGACTATGAAGAGTTGGGACCAGAGAAGACGATCGACTTTTGGGTCACCATCACCAACAACGACCGTAATGGTAAATACTGTTACCACTTGTTATGTTGAATGGGAATATCATGTCAGACAGCAGCTGTAAGAATGAAATATATTTTGTATACCAGTATGAACGATTTGTTTAGGTGTGTGCTCAACATTGTTGCATGTAATGTAGAGTGTTTTGATGTCTTAACTAGCATGTTTAGTATACAGACTTTCATGTCACATTTATATTTTGAAAAATTTCGTTTGTCTATTTCCAAAACTATTTACAGATTAGTGATACACACTCAATGAGTAGCATGAAGCATAATTATTAGAACAAGAAGATAAGGCACCCAGTTTATTTTACCTAACGATCTAAACACCTTAACGCTACCTGGGGGTGATCAAAGTGATTAATCACGTGAAATAAGCTAGGATGCCAGGAACTTAACCTAACCTCGAATGAGAAAACGTGATGAGTACAATTTCTCTGCCATCGCGAGAGATGTGACGAGGGTTGTCTGCACGATTAGCCACATTGTATTTTTATCGTTCATTTGGTAGCATCATCTGAGGGAGTTAGTTGATAACATGCACTTGTCACGGAACGGATGCCATAACCTGAGAATATTCCAAACTTTTTAATTAGTTGTACAATTGTGAAGCTACACTTAATAGATTAGTGGCAATTACACATCAAATTTTAATTAGTTATTAAATTACCGTAATGTATTGCTTATTGTAATGGTGTTTTGTGCTCGAGTAGTTTTTATACATGTGATGAATGGTACGGTAGTTATGGTATTTCACTAGAATGATCACTTATACTTAAATTTTGTAATTGCTACACGATAGTCTCATTATAAACACTGATGAATGGAATACAGGCGTGGGCATGGTAAGAGGAACACACAGTGGATGATGAAGCCTCAACTTTCCACTCGAGAATAATTCTAAACCAGGATAAAATACACAGTTAATACATGCTCGTGGAACTCTTGATAAGGGCAAGTTTCTCTACGCCCCAGCAGTAATAGGGGACCTGGATGTTAATCGATTTGCTGATCGTGTTCCGGGGTAATGGTTAGCCAGTGCAGTTGGCTAGTTGTCCGGTCTTCTCGGAGTATTCCTTGATACTGGGTCATACAGCTCGTTAACTCAGGGTGTGGTTGTTGTGTTGGTGACAGCTTCTACACCTTAAACAAATTCATGCCTAGGTGGCCCTTGGTACGGCCATCCTCGTTACACGAGGGGCAACCATTATTATAAAGCATAAATGTAATATTATTGAATATCTGGGCTTATTGATAAAGTCATATGGAAAGGTTTGTAAACATTTTCCACGCGTTAACATAATAAATTGTCTTGAAAATGGTTCTGAATACCTGGTGACTTACAGGTCCTACAAGAGCCAGTTGCAGGGAAGTCACCCAGAATCATTGAATACTAAACTTCAGAAAAGAAGAAATTTCGTAGAATAGTAGAATTGTATGTTAGAATATGGTAAATTGTTTCGTAGTGGACAGTGTAAACTTGCTCAGGCAGAAGTGAGAGTTCAGTGAAATTTGGGTACTAATTGAAACGAAGGAAATCAGGTCTATAATTACAGTACAGTACTTTTTGAAGTATATTTCTAGTAATGCAAATTACCGTTGAGTCGACAAATCATAGTTTAGTCACAGGTGGGATAATTATAACCAGATGATATAACTTAAGTTGTATTTGTTTTTATAGCATCTCGAAATAACGTTTCAAGCAGTAATATTCGGGCAACCTGCCGTCTAGTCGGTATGTGTAGGATAATGCGACATTTAATAAAGGCCTAAGGTTTGAGCCTATGTTAACAAATACAAAAAGTATACTTGTACACGTTTTGTATGAGTCAGTAAGGTTGCGCTTCCTTTCTCGTGAGTCGGTGCATTCCTCATTATTGTGACCGTGTGACTCACCCTATATCCTGCTGGGCCTCGTCTCACATACTAGTCACCACTAGATCTTGTGGGCCATGACATTTGTATTCAACATTGGACGTTCGAAATTTTGATCTTCCGCCGTTAGGAATTTTACTCTTCCTCCTCGTGTTACTTCACAGAACTTGATGAGGCAGCAGTTTCAGCACTACATGTACTTACTTTGTAAACATACACTATAATATAGAGCGATGTGTCTTAGGGCTGTGTAGTCAAGTGTTCTCTTCAAACAGCCTCAGCTAAACTGTGATGTAGTGCCATAATGCTGTATACTTGATAGCTTATACTATTTACCAGGGTGAGGAGAATCACTTGGGATTTTAACATTTACCAAACACACTTCGTATAAACTGTTGTGTGTCAGGTAATTGATAATACAACATACTGTAGTTCTTAGCTTTTATAATTTGTTTTAGACTACAGTAGTGTACAGGGTGTAAGTTATTACAGGTTCCACGTGCATATGAAGAAAACAAGACCAAATGACTCCTAATATGTCGGTGTAATAGTAGCACGATAAAAGGTAGAATAACGGTATATACTGTAAGTTGTGAGCAAGGTAGCCTATCCGGACGTGTTAATATTTGATGACTGATGTAGTGGAATCTTATCCTTGTAGAGTGTAGAACTGTAGATGGTAAAGTACAGTAAAATGTTGTTTGATATATTATACAGCATGTATTATGTTACGATAGTACTTTTGTGGTCATTGTGGTGGTCGTTTCCGTGTTTATATAAATCATTAAGTTTAACAGTGGGTAGATTAACGGAAGTGAATGGATCATGACAGTGCCTGGGTGGGTCAGCTGTGGGCGTGTCATGAAGTGGGTAATATTTGGCGCCTTCCTGTATTGGTAAACAGCTCCACCCGGAGTGCTTTTGTTATTACATTCTCAGAGTAATAGTATTATTATTTTGTTATTATTATTAATGTTGTTGTTATTAAATACGTTTGGTGTTCTATATACAGTATAGGGGATTTTTTTAATAGGAAACTCTGATTATCTTCATTAGTTAGATAAGGTATATAATAAGATTCCTGATTGACTTACCGGCAGAACCTGATTCAGGGTTTTCCTATTTCATGTATTTCTTGTAATTTCAATTGTGTTGGTTGTGCTCTTTCGTAATGGTATGTGGGTGTTGTATTGCGCTGTTCGGGGGTTGTAAATATTGTCTGTATTTTTGTACAGTATTAGCTAGTTCTGCTGTTTGATGACGGAGGAAAAGGTTATGGAACTTATGGGTCGTAACATCAGTTTTCTAGAATGTTAGCACTAGTAGGGTGTCAGTGTGTTCTCGGTAGGGTGTAAGAGGGTTACCGCTGACTGACACACTTCCTTGTATTAGACTCATCGGGTTAAAGGGTGATTCATGCCAGCACACTCACTACTCGTGATTCATCTTGTTCACCTACACGCTGCACACGTTAGTTGTCACACCAGCTTCACGGTTCCACCTCACAGTACCTTTATTTCCTCCTCTATATAAACTGCCTTGTACACGTTGGTTGGTAGTTACCACATCAATGCTCGTAAGTGTAAATTTAGCAAGTAAATAGGTAAGTACGTGCGTGCAGTAGTGGTTTGTAGCTTACATGAGGCTACCCCGAAGTGTGGAGTGAGTCACGTTTAGAGCTCGTTGACTTGACTTAACCAAGTGGTGGTGGCTGTGGGTAATGTTTGGCTCCAGAGTACATATTGCTTCACCTGTTACTGAACGACTCCTCAGCATCAGGAAGATTTACTGATGTGTCAGCAAGAGGTGCTAAGGAACGTGTGCAAACGTTACATAAGGTAAGTCAGTCAACAACTGTGATGATGAATCCGTGGTAAACACACGGAGGTCCAGTAGTGCTGTAATGGCTCCCAGATAAAGCTAATTATGTTAGTAGTTTTGAAGGTCAAGGAATTAATCGATGTGCAGTCTTGTCGAGTTGTGGTCTTTGTTTATAAAGCTAACAGGAACCAGAGTCATTATAGCGCGAGTCGGGCTGTTGGCTCTTGTTAGAAAACACAGAAATGGAAGACCTGATAACATGGGGTCAGGTTTTAGCCGATTGTCATTTGTAGATTTTTTGGGGTGGGGTGGGGGTGGGGGGTATGGGTGGAGTACTGGCCTAATATGTTACTGTACACTATATTAATTGTGGGGGGCATGGTGGAGTACTGGCCTAATATGTTACTGTACACTATATTAATTGTGGGGGCATGGGTGGAGTACTGGCCTAATATGTTACTGCACACCATGGTGAGTACTGGCTAATATGTTACTGTACACTATAATAATTGTGGGGGCATGGGTGAGTACTGGCCTAATATGTTACTGTACACTATATTAATTGTGGGTTGGGTGGAGTACTGGCCTAATCTGTTACTGTACACTATATTAATTTGTGGGGGCATGGTGAGTACTGGCCTAATATGTTACTGCACACTATATTAATTGTGGGGGGGCATGGTGAGTATCAATTAATATACTAATTATATTAATTGTGTGGGGGCATGGGTGAGTACTGGCCTAATATGTTACTGTACACTATATTAATTGTGGGGGCAGGGTGAGTACTGGCCTAATTGTTACTGTACAATTATATTAATTGTGGGGGGCATGGTGAGTACCAATATGTTACTGTACACTATTAATTGTGGGGCGGTGGAGTACTGGCCTAATATGTTACTGTACACTATATTAATTGTGGGGGGGGGCATGGGTGGAGTACTGGCCTAATATGTTACTGTACACTATATTAATTTTGATGATTAGACATATTCTTGTGTGTGTGTAGTGAAGTATGATGATTTACTAGTGCTAATTATGTTGAGGGTTACGTGGCGAGTACAGCTGATTCTTCCCACCTGCATTGCTTGCTAAATGCTTCACAGACTGACCAGCTCATTGCTGCGACAGTGTAGCTGGTGTTTTGTAGCCTTCCATCACTGAGAATGTTATCGTTATTCTTTATTAATTATTGAGAATTTATCATTATTCACCAAGTATATTATTAGTGGGTATAGACTACAGATTACTGGATAGAATGTTGTAGTGACGGATGCCTGACTGTGACGAGTGGTGAGGTGACAGACAGGTGTGCCCCCATCATAAAACTTTCCGGGTACAGTAGGTCGC